AGGCCACGGCCCTGCCCCGCAGTAGAGGGGGGCTAGCAGGAACTAGGGGGCTGCAGCGGGGACTTGCCTGCTCTGCAGGACGTAGATCCCGTGCTCCATGGGGCAGGGGTCCCATGCTCCACAGGGCCCCCGTGTGCCCCCCACGGGCACGCTGAGCTCCTGCCCCCCTCCTCAGGCCACCGCTCGCCCCTCAATGACTTCCAGCGCCTGCGAGCCACCGAGCTGCTGGCAGTGCCCGTGGAGCCACCGCTGCCGCTGCCGGAGCGAGGCTCTGCAGAGCACTGCGCCCAGCACTGTGCCACCAGCCTGGCTTGCCGGTGAGTGGGATGTGGCAGTGCCACGGGGCTGGTGGGAGTGCAGGGGGCTATGACACCAGGGTCTTTCTGTGCGCTTGGATGCTGGATGCCCATGTGTGTGCCCCCGGGTCCCATGGGTCCTGGCCCCACACGGTGCCATGCTAGGCTCCCGCTGTTCCTCCCAGGGCTTTCCACCACGACCGGCAGAGCCAGCTGTGCCAGCTGCTGCCTTGGACCCAGCACTCGCCCCATGTCCGGCTGCAGAAAAACATCCACTATGACCTGTACCAGAAGAAAGGTGGGCTGGTGCTACGGGTGGGCATGGAGACACCGCAGACTGGGCACAGGCCACCTGGTGCAGGGCTCCCCACTGCCCATGTGCCCTGGCTCGGCCCCAGCACTCTGACATGATGCCTGTCTCTGCCCAGACTACCGGCGGGACTGCATCATGGCTGATGGTACCAGCTACCGCGGCACGCAGGCCACGACAGAGAAGGGTCTGCACTGCCAGCACTGGCAAGCCACAACACCCCATGACCACAGGTGCCCCGTGTCCCTGGCTGCCTAACGGCACCTGCCGGTGGCCCTGGACAGTGTGGGGCAACAGGGAATGGGCTGGGGACAGTCCAGCCACAATGGGGACAGCATAGAACCGTAGAATCATTTTGGTTGGAAAAGACCTTTAAGATCATCAAATCCAACCAATGAGGGCACAGAGGGCGGTAGGGACAGCATGGGGGCAATGACACTAACTAGGGGTGGCACATCATTATGGCTGTGCTGGCCCTGGGGTGAGTGGCTCCCGGCAGCTCTCCTACCCACACTGCTGCCAGCAGGTTCCTGCCGTCCCCCCACAATGGGCTGGAGGACAATTTCTGCCGAAACCCCGACCGAGACAAGCGGGGCCCATGGTGTTACACCGTTGACCCCAACGTCCGGCACCAGAGCTGCGGCATCAAGAAGTGTGAGGATGGTGAGTGCCACATCCTGGGAGTGCCCCATGCCGTGTGTCCTCCCTGCACTGGGCCCCTCTGGCTTTCGGCAGCTGTCTGCATGACCTGCAATGGGGAGGAGTACCGTGGTGCCGCGGACCACACTGAGTCGGGGACAGAGTGCCAGCGCTGGGACCTGCAGCACCCGCACAAGCACCCCTACCACCCTGACAAGTACCAGCACACAGCCCCAGGCAGCACACAGCCGCCCCAGCCATGACAGGTGCCGGGGTGGTGGTGCCACCCTCAACCTCTGCTCCCCATTTCTGGCTCAGGTACCCAGACAAGGGGCTGGACGACAACTACTGCCGCAACCCCGACAGCTCTGAGCGGCCCTGGTGCTACACCACTGACCCAGGGCGGGAGCGCGAGTACTGCCGCATCCGCCTCTGCAGTAAGTCCCCGCCAGTGTCACTGTGCAGCCAGGACAGGGGGTCCCGGGTGCCACCCTTAACCCTGCTGTTCTGCCCCTCTCCGGCCATGCAAGCAGGGAAACGCCCACGGCCCCTCAACGTCACCACCAACTGCTTCAGGGGCAAGGGTGAAGGCTACCGGGGCCGGATGAACGTCACTGTGTCGGGGATCCCCTGCCAGCGCTGGGACTCCCAGACCCCCCACCAGCACCACTTTGTGCCTGAGAAGTACCCGTGCAAGTAAGGGGGTGGGGGGGATGCACCTGAGGAGGGTAGCGGTGGCAGCACCCATGGGCGCAGGCTGGGGGAGCGGAGGGACACCCACACGGCCACTCCACCAGGGACCTGCAGGAGAACTACTGCCGCAACCCTGATGGCTCAGAGGCACCATGGTGCTTCACCGCCCGCCCCACTGTCCGCATCGCCTTCTGCTTCCACATCCACCGCTGCCCTGATGAGCTGAGCACCCAAGGTGAGCTGCCCCCGGGCACCCAGCCCCGGGGTGCCTGCTGGAGGTGCCAGCCCTCTCTGCCTGTCCCCAGAGTGCTACCACGGCCATGGCGAGCACTACCACGGCCATGTCAGCAAGACACGTAAGGGCATCACCTGCCAGCCCTGGGCTGCCCAGGCACCCCACACGCCCCAGTGAGTGTGCGAGGGTGGCATGTGGGGATGGGGTTGGGGACAGAATTTGGGATGGAGATGAGGATGGTGATGGTGACTTCCTCCTGGCAGGATCTCGCCCATGACCCACCCCGAGGCACACTTGGAGGAGAACTACTGCCGCAATCCTGATAATGACAGCCACGGCCTCTGGTGCTACACTATGGACCCACGCACCCCCTTTGACTACTGTGCCATCAAGCCCTGCTGTGAGCCCCTACCCACACCCCTGCAGAGCTAGGGGGGAATCCCTGGCCACCCCCTGGGGTGGTTTTGGTCCCCCCAGAGTGGCTGGATCCTGCCCTGGTGCCACCCTCTGCTCTCCCTCTGCAGCTGACAGCATGGTGCCCTCCATCCTGGAGAATGCAGGTGGGGGCCCACGGGTACTGGCTGAGTGCCGCAGGGTGGGTGCCAGTGGCACAGCCCTGACTGATGGCTGCCCTGCCCACAGATGCGGTGGGGTTTGAGCAGTGTGGCCAGCGGGACTAGAGGCTGCAGCGGAAAGGGCGCATTGTCGGTGGCCAGCCCGGCAACTCGCCCTGGACCGTCAGCATCCGCAACCGGTGAGCGTGTGCCCTGCAGGCACTGCTGCACAGCCAGCATCCCCCCAGGAACTCACCCCTCCCCCATCCCCACAGGGCTGGTGTGCACTTCTGCGGGGCATCCCTGGTGAAGGAGCAGTGGGTCATCAGCACACGCCAGTGCTTCTCCTCCTGGTAAGGCCAGGGCTGGGGCATGGGGTGCTGGGACCCCACTGTGCCCTCATGTCCCTGTCACACAGCAATGCCGACCTGATGGGCTACGAGGTGCAGCTGGGGACACTCTTCAAGGACCCTGGCCCTGGGGACCCCGACCAGCAGACCATCCCCATTGCGCGGATTGTCTGCGGCCCCTCTGACTCCCAGCTGGTGATGCTGAAGCTGGCGAGGTGAGCGGCCATGCCCTAGCCCCTGCTGGGCCCTGCTGCCAGCTGGGCTGGCACCACGTCCCACTGCTCCTCTCACCACAGGCCAGCCGCTCTGAATGGGCGCGTGGCCCTGATCTGCTTGCCGCCCAAGCACTACGTTGTGCCCGCAGGCACTGTCTGCGAGATCGCTGGCTGGGGTGAAACCAGAGGTACCTGCTGCCGGCATCCCCTGTGACGGCATTCCCTGCCTGATGCATTCCCTGCCCATGCCACTCCCCTGCAATGGCATCCCCCTGCCTGCAGCATCCTCTGCCCCACACAGCATCTCTATGTCTATGCTATCCCCCTGCCCACAGCATCCCGCTTCCATGACATCCCCTTGCCCATGACATCCCCTACCATGACGCTTTCCTGTCCATGCCATTCCCCAACAACAGCATTCCCCTGCACACAACATCACCTGCCCATGATATCCCCTACCCACAGCACCCTCTGTGAGAGCACTCCACCCAGAAAGGCATCACCTTGCATGCTGTGTGCCCACACCCATGGTATCCACCCACCCATGGCACACCCCTGCCACAGCATCCCCCTGCCATAGCATGCCCTCCCCATGCATCCCCTGCCCGCTGCCCTGCACGCTTGCTGCCTGCAGGCACAGCGGACAGCAGCATGCTGAATGTGGCACGGCTGCCTGTGCTGGCCCACGGTGAGTGCAACATGGCGCTGCGCGGGCGCCTAAAGGAGAGCGAGCTGTGCACCGCCCCACTGCGCGCCGGCGTGGGGGCCTGCGAGGTGAGCCAGGCTGGGGATCGCAGCCTTGGGGAGCCTGTGGGTGCTGGCACCCAGGTGACACTGCTCTCTGTGTGCTGCAGGGAGATTATGGGGGGCCACTGGCTTGCCTCACCGCCGACTGCTGGGTGCTGGAGGGTGTGATCACCCCTTCCCGCGTCTGTGCCCGCACCGACCAACCTGCCCTCTTCATCCGCGTCTCTCTTTATGTCGACTGGATCCACAAGGTGATGAAGATGGGCTGAGCTGGCTCAGCCCCAGCCTGGCACAGCCACCACCACACAATAAAGGCATGGCCGTGGCCACAGTGATTGGCATTACACAGGGTCTCACACATTTATTTAGCACCAAACCCCAACAACCCATGTCCCATCCTGCCCCTGGCTACACTCACTCCATCCTCCTCTGGTGCTGGTGTGGTCTCCAGGGCCAGCAGTCACCCTGGGGCTAGCACAGCTGCAGGGCCACCATGGGCACTGGGGGCTGTGCCGTCCTTTCCTGTCCCACTGGGGCTGCCCCAGGTGCCAGAGAAGCCAGCAGGCACAGTTCCCGAAGACATTGGCCTCCATCTCCACACCGGCCAGCATGTGGCCACCCTCTGGGTACCACAGCAGCCTGTGGGGCAGGGAGAAGGATGCTCAGCCAGCATCCTGGGGTTCCCTCCCTGCTCCCACTCCCTTGCACCCCACTCACCGCACCGGCACCCCCCCGGCCTGCAGCACCCGGTACAGCTCCAGCGCCTGTGTGGGGCTGACACGCTGGTCCCAGGCACCCCCACACAGCAGCATCGGCGTCCGCACCTGCGGCATAGCTGCTGGTGGGTGCCTGGCACCCCATGCCTGGCACCCTGCACCCATCCTGTCCCTGCCTTACCCGGGCCACCTGGGCGATGGGTGAGCACAGCAGCATGGTGGCCACCTCCTCGGCATGGGGCACTCGCACAAAGGTGTAGGGCAGCCCCAGGAAAGTGTAGCGCCTGTGGCACGGAGGCGCTGGTGGGTGCTGTGAGGATGTGGCATGGCACAGCACGGCACAGGGTTGGGGGTGGCACTCACCAGTTGGGGATGTCGGAGGTGCCCAGCAGTGCGGGCAGGTTGGAGACCGGGCTGCGCAGGGCACAGGCTTGGTACCGCTCAGGCTCGTGGGCAAGGAGATGGAGGGCAATGAAGGCTCCGTGGGAGCCAGCCAGCAGGGCCAGGTGGTGCGGGTCCAGGGTCTCACTGCACAGTGCCTGCTCCACTGCCAGCTGCAATCATGGGGCACCCACGATCAGCACTCCACCATCAGCACCCAAACATCAGCACCCCACCATCACCATCCCACCAGCAGCACCCCCCAGCACTCCCCAACCCAGCACCCCTCACCTGGGTGTCCGCCACGTCCTGCTCATCCATGTGGGAGAGCAGGGAGCTGATGCTGGCCTGGCCAAAGCCCAGGGAGCCATGGTAGTTCACTGGGGAGATGGGGGCTGTGGGTGCTGTGTCCCCGGTGGGGCACAGGGGCCACATGTCCCTGGGCTCCCCAGCACTCACCCAAGAGCACGGCGAAACCCAGCTGGCACAGCGCGGCCATACTCGGACGCCAGCGGGCATCAAAGACAGCGTGGGGGCCATCTGAGTCCAGCAGGGACATCACCTGGGGTGCCACCAGTGCTGCCAGGGTGTCCCCGCCATCCCCTCACTCACCATGGGGGCACACAACGAGAGGGTGTGGTGCTGTGCCATCCGGTGGGCTCAGCAGCAGGGCCTCAAAAGCCTGAGTGCCTGCGCCAGGGAAGTGGTCCTGCTCAGCACCCAGCACCTCGGGCACCCAGTACCTTGCCCACCCCCCACATCTGAGGGCTCACGGCACCCATGCAGCATCCAGGTACATTGGGGGCCCCCGGGTGCTCACCGTGCATGGCGGGGCTCTTCCCACTGCAGGGTGGCTGGACCGTCAGCGTCTTCCAGGTGACACCGGGCACTGTTGGCACATCCTCCACTGGCACCCAGCGCAGGGGCAGCTCCTGGCCCGCCGGTGGCAGCACCGCCACCACCTGGGGACAGGCAGCAGGTGGCATGAGGGCATCCCTGCTCCAGGAGACCTGGCCCCCACCAGGGTGTACTCAGCCCCAGCATGCCCACTGTCCCAGTGGTTTGGCGCTCTGGGGTGCCATCCTATACTGTGCCTAGTTATACTGCCCTATGCCATGTCACGCTGTGCTTCACCATGCCATGCTGCACCTGGCCCTGCCATGCTCTGTCTTGCCAAACTGTGCTGTGACTGGCCATGCCAGGCTCTGCTGTGCCTTGCCACACTGTGCCATGTGATGCCATGCTGTATCCAGCAATGCCATACTGTGCTATGCTATGCCATGTCAAGGCTGTGCCATGCAATGCCATGCTGGATCTGACTGTGCCATACCCTACTGTGCCGTGCAATACTGTGCTGGGCCAGGCTGTGCCCAGCTGTGTCATGCTGTGGTGTGCCTGGTCGCTCCATGCTGTGCTGTGCCTGGCTGCACAGCGCCATGCCACATCACGCTGTGCTGCACTGTGCCAGGACTCTGCTCACCAGGCTGGGGGGGCGGTGCGGGGCTGAGCAGGTGGCCACCAGCAGGTCCCACTGGAGGCTGAGCAGCTCCCAGCACCCTTCCGTTGACCCTGCAGACAGAGATCACACCAGTACTTGCTGATGCTTGCTGGGGCACCGTGGGCAGCTTGGTGCCATGTACCTGCTGTCAGGTTGGTGACAGTGGCCGCCTCCGTGTCCACGAGCAGCAGGTCCTGCAAGGGGGCAGAGTAGAGGCAGGGGGCACGCCC